TTTACACTGTCATTTGTTTATATAAATTGTTTGTATAAATATTTACATTTACTAATAGACAACATGAAACCAGCCTGTAAAGTAGATTTTGCTTTCATCAACTTGCATGAGAGTGATTGTAAGCTCAAAACTAACAAATTCACTCTAACATTGTACAATTCCAGTGGTATGTTTGGAAATATCGGTTTTCACAACTTAAGTCCTCTTCAGATGATGGCCTGAACAAACTGAAACTCCATTTCCAAGATCCAGAAACTAGAAAGGTGGAGGTTCAAGTGAGTATATTGTTGCTACTTAAGGTAATGTCGGCTTCAGGTCATTTATATTTAACTCTTAACATAAGGGGAAATAATACTCGTTAATTTTTAACTGATTTTTCATGTTCCTACATGAATTTGATACGGTCCATCAAAACACAGAATTGTAGTAACTGAAATTAGCATTTTTTTCTGGCAATCCAGAAACTAGAAAGGTGGAGGTTCAAGTGAGTATATTGTTGCTACTTAAGGTAATGTCGGCTTCAGGTCATTTATATTTAACTCTTAACATAAGGGGAAATAATACTCGTTAATTTTTAACTGATTTTCATGTTCCTACAAGAATTTGATACGGTCCATCAAAACACAGAATTGTAGTAACTGAAATTAGCATTTTTTCTGGCAATCTGAGAACAAGTCAGCTTTAAAATTCAAGTTACCAATGTGAGCCTTATCTTATTCTACAGGAACTAGAGTCATCTTCGCTTCACAGTCTTCTCTTCTGTCTGCATGCTTTCCTCAGTGCCAAAGTTACCTCCGTAGATCCTGGGTTTCTTCATAGCTCATGACATAATCTAGTTACGAGTTTCTTTAAGAGAAGAAAATCAAAAATGCTAAGCTCACGTATTCTGCTGATGAGGTGCTGTTTTGTTGTGAGAAAAAAAGTAAAACTCATCATTATTCTGTAAATCTCTGATAGGATTAGGTTTTAGTAAACAAGTAAACTTATTATTCGTTAAATACATGATCAGAAAGTTTGTTTTACATTGTCATAATTACAGGTACCTTTCAATTGATATCATATGAAACCAGTTTCGCCCTGTTGATCTCAGTATTATTGACGATACAACTTAAGTGTTTATTGGCATAAAGTTTGAAATAATGACTAGCTAAAAATGTAAACTGCTTTAAGTTGTACATTTTTTTCCGTAGATTTGAACTACAATACTAGATACAATACATTTAAAGTTACGTGTGAATTGATTTAACATATCTGTTACTTTTATAATGGAAATTAAAAGTAGTAATTATTCTATTAGTGCTTTATTTTTTATGTGTTTAGTTTCTTTTTATTTCACTAACTTGAAAAATACAGTGCCAAAATCTCTAAAACAAAACAAACATCTACCAAAGTTGTAATGGTTTTCACACGAGACCCAAAACTCGAGCGTTTTCGAATAGTTCACTATTTTTCTTCTTCTTTATTCTTCTGAAGAAGAATAGTGAACTATTCGAAAGCATCGAGTTTTGGGTCTCGTTTGAAAACCATTACAACTTTTGTATGTGATCCTGTGTGCTAACTTTTTAATCAGAATCTACCCAAAATATCCTTTACGTTTCTAAGCACCAGTATTAGCTACGTCTACTATTTCAAGTAATTTTCTTGGAACAAAATTTGTATTATTTCAATCTATATGTGATAAAAAAAAAGTTATATGCAAACAAGTGTTTTCATAGCAAAATATAACTGTGTAATAACTGCAATATATAATTATTTGACAAACAGATTAGATGACAATATGTTGTTTTTTGTCATTATGCATTTTACAGGATACACATCTTTTACATTTTGTTTTCTTCACATCATAAAACACGGTGTAAAGTCTAATTCTTGATATGTTTAATCAGAATAATATATAAAATTTAATTTTTGGATATTTTCTTGATTACTGTTACTAGGCTGATGATGTTCTAAGCTGCCCTGATCATTGTTTGTTTTTCTTTCCTTCATAAGCTAAGTGCCATTAATTTTTTAAGAAATTATTGTTTCCAAATAAATTAAATTAATCATTGTTATCATAATTAATTGATTATTACTTTAAATGTTACATTTGTGGAAGTGTACAGCATGCTTATTGATATCCTTTAGTGAAGATGTAGAGTTTAAAGAAGTTAATAATTATAGTATATTGGAAGTAGAGCTACAAGAAATGATTGTAAGTATCTGTTTTTAAGGAACAGTAAATAACTGGCAACTTTATACATATTTCATTAGGTTCAGTGGGAAGAGAAATAAATAAGGGCCACAACCCTAAAGATGAATTACCTTTTTATTTAAGCACGATCATTTTGGAAAGACTTATTCTTTCTATTAACCTGACAGTAAAAAGTGGGAGGGAGTTGTCAGAGCAAGAGATAAATAAAACTCATGTTGCAGTTTAACAACATGTAAAAAAAGGAATGAATAATATATATATATATTTATATATAAACAAATACAAATTTTCACCTTTGAATACAAGTAACACTACAATACCTAGATTCTTCTTTATCAATTTCTTCTACCAGTTGTGTGATTTAAAAGATCACTCTTCAGAAAATTATATTTAATAAGCTTAAACTAATTTATTTTATTTTAATGTACTTAATTTATACAAGGATTGTATTTTCTGTTTGTGTATTGTGAAAAATATGTATGTAATTTAAGTTACTTGTGTTTATTTGAATGTTTTTATTGTAGATTCTCTGTAAAATTACATCCTAAAGAGTAGATGAAGTTAATAAAGTAGAGAAGAAACAGAAGAGTCTAAGTATTGTAGTGTTTTGTTATATATAAATGTATATGTACAAATTACAGCAGAAATTAAAAAGACTTAACTGTTTAGTCGAGGGAGGTTTTCGTATTGAAGGACAGTGTGTGTAATAATAAGTTGAATATCAAATATTTGTAAATGTTTGTCAAAGTGAAGATGGCTCAATGATGTGAGTAATGTCCAAAGACACATTCAGAAAGAAGTTTTTCTTACAGATTTAAAAAAATCTGTTTCTGCACATGTATAGATCTTAATGTAGATAACCTGGCAGCTATAACAAATAAACATGGAACGTTTTAGTTGAAGCTTTTTTTTAAACAGCAACACAGAGGTATGTCTGCGGACTTACAACGCTAGAAATCGTTTTTCGATACCCGTGGTGGGCAGAGCACAGATAGAACATTGTGTAACTTTGTACTAACTACAAACAAACAAACTTTTTTAACACACGTTACTCTGTTCATTTATATATATATATGTATTCTTTATTCATAATCATGGTTGTAAATATGTACTCTCTTTCAGCTATCAGTGGTATTTAGCACCAGCCAAATTTTTTATTAATATTTTCATTCTTTTTAGTTTTGTGCTAATGAGTAGTGTGTCTATTCTAAACTTCATTGCTGGGAGGAAACGAACTGTGCATAGTATTTACAATATACCATATTTGTATCTGCAAGGAAATATTATTATATTCTGAAAAACAACCTTTATTTTCACTTGAGTGAAACATATAGAAAAAAAAAAGTGATTTAAAGTTCCTGGTGATGAACATTTAATTTTTTTTTGTGTTTGTGTGTGCCTTTAGAAATGTATTTTCATAAAAGAAACGTTATTCACAGCGGTTATAAAGATATTTATCACCAAGAAATTTAAAGTTATATCTGTAAAGTAAAAGGTAAATTGGCAGTTTTAACAATTTCCATGCTGTAATTCTTTGCACGTACTCATTAGTGTACATTTGCATCTAAAATGAATTGGAAAATGGTGCTTTCATTATTAAAAAAAACATCTGTTTGGTATATATGGCAAGGTTTTGGTAGTACATTGGGGCCCTGCTGTAGTGTGGAACTCATTATAATAACATTGGTCCTTCTTGGACCCCAAAATTGTCATTTTATTATATATTGTTCAGGAGGCCATTTTAACCAGTTTATCGGTAGTTCTGCAACTGGCTTGGTAATTTGGGAAGAATCTCGTTATAATGCAGTCTCCCATGGACTGAATTATAGCAGGGCCCCAGTGTAATCAAAAATCCAGTTGGTGTCATGATTAATGACCTATACCACCAACGTCTTGTTTTTTTTTGTTTTTAAACTACTAACTCTGACAGCAGCAATAAATTATTGTTCAGTGTTTTGTGTGACAGTACATCACAATAAGGTTCATTTAATTTGTAACAAATCTGGTTCTATATGTGCTTTATGTGTTGCCTACCCAGTCAACAAATCTGGTTCTTTACGTGCTTTATGTGTTGCCTACCCAGTCAACAAATCTGGTTCTATATGTAATTTGTGTGTTGCCTACCCAGTCAACAAATCTAGTTCTATACGTGCTTTATGTGTTGAATACCCAGTCAACAAATCTGGTTCTATATGTAATTTATGTGTTGCCTACACAGTCAACAAATCAGGTTCTATACATGTTTTATGTGTTGCATACCCAGTCAACAAATCTCATTCTATATGTGCTTTATGTGTTGCATATCCAGTCAACCCGATGAGCTCTGGTACTGAATGAAAGGCCTTGTCGGCAACGGTGTGAAGCACACACACATGCAGTTGAGATGCTATTTATGTTCTTCTTACTGGATACCTTTATAGAGCCAGTAAAGAAAAGTTTCTTAAAACTTATTATCAGGTACCCTGGTGGGTCAGCAGTAAAATACAGTGTTCAATCCCAGCAATAGACACAGTAGATAGTTCAATGTGACTGCTAAAAACAAACTTATTACTAGTCTTATTGGGGTGTTATTTAACACCGAGTAAGGAGCTACTTCATTAGCATAAGTTGTTATATACGATAATGAAAAAGGGAGTTGCTTATGTGTTTTCTTGATGATTTCTTGTATTTTATTTTACCCATTCTTACTGTATATTGTACATTTTTAGTTGTAATTTTTTTTTTCACTTACATAAAAACTGTGATATTTTCAGTTATTTTTCAAGTTTCTTTGAGAAAAGATAAAACATATCTGTTAATGATGATGATTGTGCCTGTTGCACTTTTTTTTTAATATTTTCCATAAACAGCATAACTCCAAGGACCACTAATAGCATTGTTTGAGGGATAGAGGTGTGTTTGGCTTTATAACGTTATGCCACTATTTCGGAAAACATTAACTTCAAAAATAACAAGTCAGCATATATATAAGAGGTTTTGTGGCAAACTGTGGAAGTGTTCATTGATAAGAATAATGGGATATCTAAAAATGATTTATTTAGCACAGAAAGACAAAGATCTGTGGATTTCTGTGTAATCATACCTTGTATAGTGTTCTTTAACCATGTGATCAGGCTTTATATAATGGTTTTTTATGTGAACTGACTTCATATTATAGTCTTCTATGTGTGCTCTTATATCTTGGTCTATATGTGAACTGGTCTCACATCTCTGTGTGATCTTGTGTCATATACTGGTCTGTATTTGACCTGGCCTCACAAAATGTTTCATGTATGATGAAGTCTGTCATACATTGCTCTCTGTGTGATCTGGTCTCTCAAGGTGTTTCCTGTTGTGTGGTGAAGTCTCATACATTGCTCTGTGTGTGATCTGGTCTCTCAAAGTGTTTCCTGTATGATTAAATCTCATATATTTATATATACTCTGTGTCATCTGGCCTACATAATATTCTCTGTGTGATCTAGTCTCATATATTGCTCTATGTGTGATCTGGACTACATAATATTCTCTTTGTGATCGAGTCTCATATATTGCTCTATGTGTGATGTGGCCTACATAATGTTCTCTATGTAATCTAGTCTTGTATATTGCTCTATGTGTGATCTGGACTACATAATATTCTCTATGTGATCTAGTCTCATATATTGCTCTATGTGTGATCTAGTCTCATATATTGCTCTATGTGTGATCTGGACTACATAATATTCTCTTTGTGATCTAGTCTCGTATATTGCTCTATGTGTGATCTGGCCTACATAATGTTCTCTATGTAATCTAGTCTTGTATATTGCTCTATGTGTGATCTGGACTACATAATATTCTCTGTGTGATCTAGTCTCATATATTGCTCTATGTGTGATCTGGCCTACATAATGTTCTCTATGTGATCTAGTCTTGTATATTGCTTTGTATGTGAACTGACCTCATATAATGTTCTTTGTGTGATCTTTTGTTATATATTGGTCTGTATGTGATCTAGCCTCACATAATCTTCTCTATGACTGTGTGATTTGGTCTTGTGTAGTGGTTTCTAACTGTTTGAGTAGTTAGTTGAAAATGAAAGAATTATCAAGTGACATTTTTCTTAAGTTGATCAGTTTTGATGTGAGAGTTTAATTTCCGGTTTGCCATGGTTGAGATGATGAAACATTGGGTAATTTAAACTAGTTAACAGTTTAATATGTGGCTTCCATGCTTAAAGATGTCAATTCAATATGGCAGTTTAA